TTGAAACATATACACCTCATTCTCTAAGGGGCAAACAGCCTACTTTTAAATACACAAAAGTTGCTACCAACTTGATGTTACACTTGCCATAGCTATCTATATACAAAGTGAGGCTCTAGAGCTTCTCCAGGTTCCCAAACAATGGAGTGTTCTTAGCCTTGGTGTTTACTGTAGCAAGAGCCCACTGGACATTGATCAGAGCCCAGTCAGTGGATTGCTAGTTCCACATGAGATCTCCAGTCCCCATGGTTTCCTGTTGGACAAACACCTAGACTTTGATCCTATTCAAAGGTGAATGCAATGTCCAGAGGGCAGGGAGTGAGACAATCTTTCAAATTAATGGCCTGAGCCACGGCTGTAGGATGATTACCCTTCTCTGCATTTGTGCCCCTCTACTGAGGGGGGAATTTTGTTTTCTTTTTTGGGTGCTGGGTCTTGAACTCAGGGCCTTGTACTTGCCAGGCAGGTGCCCGAGTTTATCTCTGGTCCGAGAATTTTTGATCCTGTCACAGTTGTCTCCATAACTGCCAGCAGATCTATTAACCCCATTTATGATATTCATGGGCTTGCCCCATCACCCCCTCCTCCTTCCGTTGGGGATGTTCATGACACAGTGCAGACTTACAGCCCTGCCTTCTAGTCTCAGCCTCCACTAGGTTGGCCACCATAATAATCACTTCCTTAATCCTGCACCTCATGTAGGGAGTCAAAGGAGGAAGGGGGAGCATTCTAGAGGACCACGACCCCCTTGCCTGCTGTGAACTGTTCATCATCAGGGTGTTAAGATAAAATATTACTTGTCACATACCCAAATCCCATGGGACCTGTAGAAGGTCAGGAATAGCTTCCATTTGCTCAGTGTGTCTGTCACATCCCTCACATTGGTGCACACAGTATGAATGGCTGCTTTAAGTCAACTGAGCATGGAGCGGCTCCCCTGTCCATACCAGCAGCTGTTTTGCAGCGGCTGTCTGAGGGAGGGGTAGCTAGTGATTGACTTCTCCATCTCTTGCCTAGTATGCAAAACAGCATCCCTGAACCCCACAGTTGCAGCAACCAAGTCACCAAACATTCTCCTGGGGTTGTCTAAACTGCCTTCCCACGTCTATGAATTCAGCCGGACGTAGGGGAGGCAGGCGGTGAACTCAGTCATGAGGCAGGATCTGTAGCCACCCTGTCAGGTGCCATGGGCTGCTGCTGCTTAATTTTTGCCTCACCACCAGCTGGGCCTTCCCGCATGGAATTAGCTCACTATCTTTAGCTCCTGAGTCGCCTGTATCTGTGAGCTCTACTATATTATTGACACGCATTCCTCCGGAACACAATTTACAAGCAGCAGCTATCTCTCCTTCCAACTCCCTGGTGTAGGTGTTTCGTATTAATGAGGCTTGGGTCTCAGTCCTAAGGGCAGTAAAAAGCAACTACTGTACCGCCTCAGCAGCAGTAAGGTCAGTCTCCTCCAGGACCTGTCCCATGACAGGCAAAACTTTCTCTATCAAGAGAGGTCTCATATCCACTTTTACCCAGGCCTTAGGAGGGGTCCATGTCAAGATGAGGGTCACTACTCCTCAATCCACCTGGGAGAGCAGAGGGTTCCATACCGAGTTACTGTGAATGTTGCCAACTATACCTGCTATTCAGCCACCATTCCAGGCTGGGAAGGTTCATTTGAGATTTGGGGAGTCCAAAGAAAGAACAGTGAACTGTGACACTATCTGGCATGCCTTTACTGTCTCAGTGGTATGGGGAACATCCCTAAAGGATCCAGCTCTTTTTTACTCAAAGCACTCACAGCTGGCAAAGCTGCCAAGAATTTTTAATGAAACAGTGTTATGATTATACCTAAATGTCCCCCCAAAGCCTCATGTGCTTATAGGTGGGGCTTTTTTGGAACTGGCTGGATCTAGGGTTTGTGATAATGGCATTAAAATGTGTGGTAGTAAATTGATCCACTGATTGATTAGAATGAGGGTAGTTCTGTGTGTAGACAATGGGAAGACACACATTGGGCATGGGCAGTAACAATGAATAAGCTTCTGGCTTGGGTGGAATATAAAGGGGCAGAGAAGGGAGCAGACTTGCTTCTTGCTGCTTCCTGCCTTCTGCCTGCCACACCATGGACTATTTCTCCTCTGTGATGGCCCTCCACTATGTTACTGTTATGTCTCAAAAGGGTAGATTTTTATCTAGGGTCTGTAAAAAAGAAAAAAAAACTATATCAATAAAAGAATTAGAGATACGAGTTTAGAAGAAGAAACAAAATCATTTTATTGGGGAGAGGAGGGAAATGAGGAAGCAAAATCATTTTATTGGGAACAAGGGAGAAAATAAATAGATAGATAGCTACTTTGTTGGAGTAAGGTGGGGAACCCAGAGCTGGCACTAGGGAGTCTTTGTTCTAAGTTTCTTTTGTTATGTGGCAAGAAGAAGACTATCCTCCTTGAGAGTTGATATCACTTCATTGGCTATTTTGAGCTCTAAGACCCTTGATTTGGCTATTGCCCCTACCATTACCTGCCTGTGCATTTTTGGAAGCCCTCTTTTGGTCTCTTTGTGTTGCCCAGGTGCTTATCTTGTGATATTTATAGCAGAGTTACATTCAAAGCGGAATTACTAGAAAGGATACGTGTGCCTTTAATTTATTTATTTCTGGTACCAGAAATCAAACTCAGGACCTCACTCATACTCACCAGGTAGGCGCTGCTCCACGTGTATTTTAGTGTATTAATATTGTGATAATAATAAAATATACATGTATTTACATGTGTGGATGTGTGTTTCGGTGTTAGTGTGTAATTCGTATACTGAGATTTTTGTGACAGTCCTCTCTCTCCCTGACTTTGCTTTCCTTGTGCTTCACTGAGGATGGAGGGAGGATGGAGCTGTGTCTTGGCATGAAGTGAGCCTGGCCAGTCTCATCAGCTCTCTCTGTTTTCTTAGCTTCTCTCTGTCTCATGCAGAGTTTAACTCCTTATTTGCCAGCAACCTCACTGAGACCCTTTAACTTTCTCTGCCTGTCCCCCAACTTTCCCTATGCTGTCCTGTCCTGGAACCAGGTAATAATGGGTTGAAATCTCTAGAAACTGTGATAAAAAAACAAACCTTTCCTTTTTTAACTTACAGGTGTCAGGTATTTTGTCTCAGCAATGAGAAAAATCACAAAGATGCATAGACTATTTGTTTACATGTTCATTGTGTATGCACAAATTGCACAACATATGCTGACTCACTGGCAAGTGTAAAATGTAGACAAAAGCCTGAGCCCAGGCATCTTGGGTATCCTGACCACAGGTTGCTGAACATTTAAGTGAGCTTGAAAAGGAATTTTTCAGATGAGAACACAACCTGTTTGGTGCAGGTAATTACAGTCCTGAGCCAAATAACTACCCAGTAAAGATGTGCTCAGATTGCTAACCCCTGGAAGCCATCAGATGAGAAATGTCTGTGTTCTAAGCTGCTAAGTTTTGTTCATTCGTTATGAAGCCATGGATGACTAACAGAAAGGAACCACTGAGGATATAGGGGGATGTGGGGAAGGAGGGAGCCCTTTCTTTATGCCTGTCCTGGTTCTCAGGGTTTGTGATGAAAACAGGGAGAAGTGAACTGCTATGGACAGGAAAAGAAAAATCAGGAGGAAAAGCTAACATGAGCAGGAAGAGGAGATGATGATGATGAAGACTTTAATTGTGAAGTGCTTAATAGGGAAAAAATAAAGTGGATGCGGCCACTTAGAATGTGACAGCAGGGTTCAGGTGGGAAGCTGAGATGAAACAGCTCTCATTTCATTAACTGGGCCCTTGTCTCATGAATTAACTGGGCCCTTGTCTCACGTGGTGGAAGAATGAAATTGTGGACAGGAAAGAGGTTAAAGGGGATGCATCCATTGGAAATTTAAGAAGAAAAATAGCTGCAGGTGAACATGTTGGAGGGGTCCTGAGTGAGTTTCTAGGGTGTTTCCTTTGTCTAGGTTCTACATAACAAGCAGAGAATAGGTGGCTTTTTATCTAGTGATCCCCTAGCCTAGGTGGTTCTGTGGGTGTAGAATAACCAACTGTGATTTAGGCTGTATAAAATTTATTAAAAAATCGATTAATCAGCTGGCCAGCTTAAGGGAAAGTGACTTTAAAGAGAACCAGTTACTCTGTATTTCCAAGCTTCTCCAAGGCTAGCCCAAAAGGAGGGAGGAGTTGTTAACTGACTTAGCATATTTTACTTAAGAAGCTTTTTCCTTGAGAGTTATCTGCATTCTTTTTTTCTTGTGTTTGCTTTTACATTTCTAAGCTTAACTAGTGTATGTTTTGGATTGGCTCCTAATTGGGTGAATATGCTATTTTCTTTCTAACCAGTGGATTTTAGGTCTAGTCCCTTATCAACTACTTACAAGCGAACTAATCTGTCTTTTACAAAGGCAGATGGGAAATTCAGCCATCATCAGCCTAGAAGCAGCAACCGAAGGCCTGAAAAATCAAAAGTCGCCCAAAGAGGGAATTCAGAAAGTAGCGGGAAGATGAGGCCTGGTGAGCGGGAAAGGCCACAGTGTGCTGGAAGAAGGAAGGAGAAACAGGAAAGCCAGGGTGTTCGCAGAGTCAAAGCAAGGACTGCACCGAATGGGTTCGGTTGCCCAGGATATTCCATTTTGCTACCAAGCGTAACCTCTGGCAGGCACTCCTTCCCAGGAAAGAAAACTGAGGCTTTGACAGAAGCATCTGGAGCGATGCCATTCTAGCAGTACGCGAAAGCTGCATTTGAACTCAGGTATCACATCAAAGCTCGAAATCTTTCTGCTACACATGTAATTCATCTTTATTATGCAAAGGAGAGCAAGACGAGGAAGTGGAGGTTTGGGAAAGCAAACTGAGTTTCTCAAGCGTCCACAGGTGAAGTCACGCCCAGCGTACGCCGCGGTCCTCGGGGACGCCAGCAGAGGGCGCCAGAGCAAGGGCTGCGCGGCTTCAGGAGCGCGCATGCGGGTGTTCATGCGCATGCGTACGCACGTCGGCTTGCACTGGGACTCTGGGCCGGCAGGGGCGGAGACACGCAGTGCGCGCGACCGGAGGCGGAGCGGCGGTGGCTGCTGAGCGGGAGCCCGGGGTGGGCTCCAGGTAAGCGAGACGCTGCGCAGTGCGGAGCCCGCTGGCCGCCGCAGAGCCATGGAGATCGGCACCGAGATCAGCCGCAAGATCCGGGTGAGGCCCGCGTCGGCCGGCGCCGAGCGGGGACATGACGCTGGGCCGGGGCGGGCGGTTGCCAGGAGTAACGGGGCTGGTGGGCCCGGCCTGTGGCGTTTCCTAGTCCAGGCTGCCTTGGGCCTGGCGCTGGAGCGGCCTCGCCGAGCGCGGCGGGCGGTGGGGCAGCGGCGGAGGAAGTGGCCGTGGGGAGCTTGCGGGCGGGACAGCCCCGCCGCGGCGCAGCGGGCCGCCCTCCGCCCTCGCTCGCCGGCGGGTCCCGACCCCCCACCCCGTCCTCGGGGCTGGAGCTGCAGGAGGCGGCGCACGTCTCGGTCGCCTGCGCGCTGCGCTCGGCCTCGGGGTCCTAGCGCCCTGTCCTATTGATCACGTTTGCTTTTTTTACCCCCCTCAGAGTGCCATTAAAGGGAAACTGCAAGAATTAGGAGCTTACGTGGGTAAGTTTTATTGTTGTAGTTCGCCTAGTAGAATTTAGTTTGCAAGCTAATTTTAATGATTGCACTTTTCCCATCTTTCTGCACAGTGTACTATCTTTTACCCTACTGCCTTTAAATATGATTGTCCCTGATTAGTTTGTTTAGTCGTTGTTTTGTTTTTACTTGTGTCTTGAGCGTTACTTTGTAGCATTTGCCTTTGTAATGGCTCAGTGAGTTTTATTTTGAAACTGTTGATGTATTTTCTTCTTTGCAATAGTGGGAAGGGCTTTTTTCTCTTCTGTTTTCTTACCGTTTTTATTGTGGACTAGGCACTGTGCCTAACTATTGTGTGTGTATGCACACAATTAACTCATGATAATCCCCAGGAGAACCCTGAAAGGTAAGTGGTAATATTCCCAATTGTATTGTCAGGAAAGTGAGGGTTTCCCTGCTTCGTCAAAGGGTTATGATTGAGTCTAGGCTGGGAAATTTAGCTAGACTGTCTCAAGGGCTGAGGATGTAGTTCAGTAGTGGATATTCTTACTTGGTTATCTTAAGGCTGTAGGTTCATTCCTCATTACTGCAAAACAAAGTATCTACCACTTAGGAGAACTGTCCCCAAAGTGTGAGAGACTCTAAGGAATTCTAAAGTCAAAACTGTTTCCATGTTAATACAGTACTAAGAAAATACTAGTCATTATCTTTGTGTTTGAATTTGGGCTGTGCAACAGAGTTAGTAATTTATCAAGAATCAAAATAGTCACTGCAGACTACTACAGATTATATTTTAAGTCACTTGCCCCTTGCAGATTTTTAAAAAATCACGTTTCTTTGGTGTTTATTTTAAATATTTTATTTTGAGGGAGGGTCTTGCTAAGTTGTCCGCGCTGGTCTCAAGTTTTTGATCTTCCTGCCTTCACCTTCCATATTGCTAGGATGACAGGAATGCATCACACCTGAGTTAAGAAAAGCCCATTTCACTTATGAATGTCATTGGTGAGCTGGGTGTGATAATATATACCTTTAATCCCAGGTGCTCAGGAGACTGAGGCAGGAGGATTTGAAAGTTTGAAACTGTCTCAAACATGGAAAGGGCTGAGGATATAGCTTAGTGATGTAATAGTAGCTTAGCAGTAATGAGGACCTGGGTTCAATCGCTAGCACCATCAAAAAATAAATATTTAAACGAAGAGTATCATTGGTGGAGCAGTAAAAATATTTTTTAAACCTTGGCTTTTCATTACTTTTTTTTAATACTGTTTCTGAGGGAATAAAGTACCAGTGATTTAGTATCTTGGGTGTTTTTTTCCCCCTTTTTTGTCCTTTTGGTACAGGGTTTCACTATAGTTCAGACTGGCTTTGAACTCACATTGTAATCTGGGCTGGTCTGGCACTAACAGCAATGCTCCTGCCTTAGCCTCCCGAGTGCTGGGATTGCAGGCATGTATCACCACACCTGGCTCAAAGATGATTATTTTAAGGAAAGGCATTGGTATGGTTGAGTTGAGAACTAAGCCATCTTTTTCACAAAGTATCATTTTTAATTTCTAAGAACTGATAAACTGCTTATGTACTTGGGTACTTGACAGACATAAGAAAACAACTGACAGGCTTTGTTGAACCTGCAGATGAAAAACAGACTTTTAGAATATTTATGTCTGCCTCTACAAGCTTGATAGCTTTCAAGTACTGAAAGAATTTCTGGTGAAATTATGTAGCTGTTGATAAATATAATTTTTATGTTGTCTAATGAAATATGTCAATATGTCAGTGCTTCACCAGCTTAATGAACCAGTATTTTCCCGGTGACAAATGTGTAATACTAAAAGTTATGTGTGGTTAAAAAGAGCCATTAAAACCAGAGGGCAGTTGGGTAAGTTTTCTTGTAAAAACGAGAAGATACTTGCTTTAGTTTTAGATTCCATATTGATGCTAACATTTACAAAATTTGCATTTGTTGAGTTTTACAGTCTTATCACAGAATATCCATATTACCTGTACAGATTATTGACATACTATTTTTCTTTCTTCTTTCTTTTTTTTTGTTACCGGGGATTGAACACACAACCTGGTGCTTGCAGGCAGGCACACTGCTGAGCTAAACCCCTGGCCCTTTCTTTCTTTTTTTTTTTTTTTTGGTACTAGGGATTGAACTTATGACCTTGCGCTTGCCAGGCAGGCACTGGTGCTGCTTAGCTAAATCCTTGGTCCTACATACTACTATTCCAGCCAGCACTGTGTGCCTGTAATTCTGGGAGATTGAGACAGGAGGATGCAAGTTCAAGCCCAGCCTGAGCCAGTTAGTGACTTAGGTGAGACCTTGTCTCAAAGTTTTTTTTTTTATTTTTTTTTTATTTTTATGTAGCTCTGTGTGCAGAGGCCCTAGGTTTAATGCCCAGTATTGCACCCCTCCTCCAAATATATGTATACATTCTTTCCCTTTCCAGCTGTATGTCTGACACTGGATTTTCTTCTCATTCTTCAATGGGAATGTTAGAAAAGATCAAGAAGCACCTGCACAAGCTCGCACAACTTAGTGCTTTGGTGAGACTCTGTCTCACAGTGAGAAGTGGGTGGGAATGTAGGTTAGTGCAAAGACCTAGGTTCAGTCCCTGGTACTGGGGGAAGGAAAAAACCAGAAACAGAAAGGAATCCATCCGCTTTTTAAAAAAGCCACATTACTAGAAAGATGTATAAGAATATTAACATGAATATTACTTTAAAATGAATTAATGCTTTTAAGTTAAAATTTTCTGTTTTGATTTTATATGGTAACTACCAATAGAGATGACATAAACCAGAGAGGGAGTCTGAGACCAGTTTGAATGTTGCTGCCTTAACAATAGCCAGGTTTCAAAAATTACTTGTGAGGACTGTTCTAAGACTAACACATTGGTGGTGAACCAGTGGCACCTGAGCTGCAGCCAGGTGTTTGTTGCCATTGAAGCTCTAAATAGATGGCCATCACTGCTTTTAACAGATGAGAAGATTGAAGCTTGGAGAAAATGAGGCTGCATCAGGATTTATTTATTCTTTTTATTCAAAACTTAATGGATGGCAGCTATGAGCCAAAAGTTCGTTTTGGCTTAAAAAGAGAAATCCACAGACTGCCTAATAAGAACTTTTCTTAATCCTATCGCATGAAGGCATAAATACATGTTGAGTCTCAATTAAAACTTTCAGTAAATTTGAATTTGTGGCTTTGTCATCAGTCAGAAATTGCAAACCAGGAATTTTGACCTCGTTAAGAACTGGTTGCAAGTTTCATCTAACTTACTTTGATGTGTATGAGATGTAATTGAAAACTACAGTGAATGCTTAACTTAACACATTGCAGTAAAAGACACATAGTCACTAACTGCTCTCAAAATACCCAGCCATCTTCAGTCTTAGCACATTTACCCTGTTGTCCTTGCCACTTTTTTTTTTTGAGACAAGGTTTTGCTATGTAGTTCAGGCTGGCCTTGAACTCACTGTGTAACCCAGCCTAGTCTCAAACTCAAAATGTAGCCCAGCGGGTCTCAAACTCGTGGTGGTCTGCTTGCGTCAGCCTCCTGAGTGGTGGGATTACAATGTGTGCCACCACACCTGGCTTCTTGCCACTTTCTGCAATAGTTCAGGAAGTTCTCTTTCATGGATTTGTTAATCATAATGGTGTGGTTGCCTTGATATCCTGAATCTGTTGAAAACCTTTTACCTTTCCGGGTCATTTTCACTTTGGGGAAGATGGAGAAGTCCTGTCCTGCAGACCTGGTGAACAGGTGAATGGGTCACATCGTGACATTTCTAGGAGCCTGCCTTTCCATTGAAGGGCACATGGCAACAGTATTCACTGCATTTTTGATGCATGACAAAATGACATCTTGAGAAAGCGGTCTTGGACTTCCAGACGTGTTACAGAAAATGGCAAGAATGATGGGAAATTGCATTCAAAGAGCAGGATAATGTTTTGAGGGGGATTAATGACAATATAGGTTTTACTATAATTTTAAAAAGTTTATTCAGTATATTTTTTGACCATATTTTAAGTTTTGAAAACATATTCATTTACTTCCCTTTGTTCCTGAACACAGTGCCAGGGAGAGTTTTGGTAGTATTCTGTTTACAAACAAAAATAATCTTTATGGGGCTATGTAGAGCTCATCAATAGCAGATTTAAGTCAAGGAACAGGCATTTTGAGTCCTTAATGTTTATTATGTTAACTTCATAACAGAAACTTTGTGAGCTGAAGACGGGGTTGGAGTATGTGCTTTCCCAGAACTTGACCAGTTTACACATTAGCACCGCTTGCTCAGCTTGTTTGTCAGCGCTGCTTGACAGGAGTTCTCTTGTGTCTGTGTCTGATTGTATGTTTGTTTGTTTTTGGTGCTGGGAATGGAAGCCAGGGCTCTCCTTGCTCTTCCACTGGGCTCTTCCCCAGCTTAGAAGTTTCTTAAGCCCAGAGGTTTATGTTTTCTGTGTTCCACTGACACAGCAGATAGCCCAATACATTTCATAAATATTAACTGAGAGGGTAAACAGGTCACCCTTCAACTCATTTGAAATAAAATAGAGTGTATTGTTTATGTCTGTAATTAGCTACTTAATTATGTGTATGTACATCACCGCCATTCTGAAAAGGGTGAATTTCTAATCTCCTTTTTGTGGTTTGGGGATAGAACCTTGGGACAAGTGCATACTAAGCAAGTGGTTCTCTACTGAGCATACTGCAGCTCTCTATCTCTCTTTGCCTTAAACAGAGCCCTGGACCCCTTTTAAAGTTGTGAAAACAGTTATGCAGGAAATATTTGATGTTTGTTTTCAAAGTATTGACTGGGACACAAAGATGAAAAACCTTTTTTAAAGAAGGTAGTAAGATCTCATTTGTGTTTAAAATGGAGTGCTTCAGTGAGATCGCAATTAAAATTATAATTAACTTTGAGAAACCCTTACCCCCCCCACCCAGTATGCTACGCTGATTTTATGTCACCTTGACAAGCCTGTTAGAGTTCTGTAAGAATCTATCATGACATGTTAATTTTTCATTAAGTTTTTATGTTTCATTGTATGTTTACTTACAAAACAAACTTGAGAATTTCTGAAAGCTTTTGTTGAGATATAATTTGTATATACTGAGCTGTACTTTTGTGTGTGTGTGGAGGGGAGAATGACGGATTAAACTCAAGGCTTTGTGCATGCTAGGCAAGAGCTCTACCATTGAGCTGTAACTCCAGCCCTAAATCGCATACAATGAAAAAACGATCACTATAATCAAGGTAATGGCTATATTAGCTTGGAAATATAGTCTGTTAATAAAGGATAGACAAAACGCTCGGTTTGATCCCCAGCACTGCCAAAAAAACAGACAGACAAAAAATGGGAGAAACAAAACTAAAAAATTTAACAGAAACCCAACCAAATAATGAATGTATGTATGACCCTCCCAAATTCTCAGAAACTGCTTTCGGTCTCTCCCTTGGATCTTTCCCAGCCCCCAGCCCAAGGTCCAGACAACCATTGAGCTCATACAACATTTTAGAAAATGGAAACTAATACATAGTGAGAGCAGGATGGTTTCTTTGTACACTATAGATGTTATGAAGGGGAAACATTCCCAAAAGACTGCCAAAACGTTGCCGACTGTTTTAGTTGACCTGAGTTACTAGGGGTGGCGTGTAGTGCATACCACGCCTCACTAAGGCTTGGTAGAAAGCAGTGAGAGCTGGTTAATGCGCCTCCCCCAGGCTGCCTGTCTTTGTGTCTTCTCATGTATCACATGGGTCTGTGAGATAGTTGAGTTTTCCTTTCCTGTGTTAGGCTTTCTCAGTGTGTATGTGCGTCTTTTGAACAGTATTTTTGATCCAAAGTTATTTGGAGACAGTATCTGGTAGTACTTTAGATGAACCTTTATGTCTGTATGGAAGTATGAGTGTTTTAAGGTTTTTTGGGGGGTGGTAGGGATAATACATTTGTTTTGTGTATTACTTGTAGTTTTTTTATTTTGGCAGTGCCAGGAATTGAACTTAGGCCCTTGCCCATGCTAAGTATGCACTGAATCACAGAGCTGTATTCCAGCCATCTTTATTTGAGATGGTCTATCTTAGTTGCACAGACTGGCCTTGAATTTAACAATCCTCCTCCCACAGCCTCCTGACCAGCTGAGTTTACAGGTGTACACTATCTGTAATCTTATTAAGGGTTTGTTTTGCTTTTCCTTCATGAATTTATTCATGGTCCTGGGCCTCACCCTGGTAATCATATAAGGTTACCACTTGAAGGGAACACAGTGAGTGAAGTCAGTTGACATTATTTAACTGAATTTGTTTTTCTTTGTGGTCCTCTTTCTGAACCTGGTCACAAGCTAGGCACAAGCTAGGCAAGCACTCTGCCCAAAACACTTCTAGCTGCTACTTAAGATTGAAAATTTTAAGTTATGTAGAGTTTTGTGTGATTTTAGCTTATTTGATGTTGCTTCAAGTTGATTACATTGAGTAATTGAAATCTGGTTTGACCAAGGATAAATGTGTAATCTGGAGAAGTATTTTTAAAACATAAATAAAAGCTAAACAGAACTCAATTATTATTCTTGGGAAGTGTTCATATTCTTTTCTAGAAGCTTCTCTGATAATACATGTGATTAACAGTACTTCAAGGAGATGAACACCCTCTTGAAACTGATCCTGTAATTCTAGATATTTCATTCCAAGGATTTCATCATGTATCCCTAATTCTTGTTCTGCTAGTAATTGGAGTATTTGTGAAATGAAGAGGAAAAATTCAAATCTGAGCATTATCTGATACAATTTCAGCAGAGACACTGATTCTTAAAGCTACATCTATAATGCACATCAACTGTAATACAAATATTAAGGAAAACAAAAAAGATTTGATATACTTTTCCTTTTAAATAGATGAAGAACTTCCTGATTACATTATGGTGATGGTGGCCAACAAGAAAAGTCAGGACCAAATGACAGAGGACCTGTCCCTGTTTCTAGGGAACAACACAATTCGATTCACCGTATGGTATGTGTCTATTTATGCCGCACACTGCAGTTTGCAGAGTAGGTGCTTTGTCTGGAAGGCAGTTCTTGACAGTTGTTAGGTCAGCATGGAGAGGCAGTTTGTGAGTGATGAGGGCACAGCCTCTGGAGCTAGTGCCAGGTTGAATCCCTGCTCTGCATCTTGCTGCATTTCTCTGTCCATAAAATGGAACAGTAAATCACCTGCTTTATAGAATTGTGAAGGTTAAAGGAGCAAATACATAAAAATGCTTGCAGTCTGCCTGACCCCTGGCAGACCCTAATGTAGTCAGCTTCAATTGCTTTGTTTCCTTTGTAAATTACATCTTACTACTTTCCTGCAACCAAAACCAGTTAGAAACACCAAGGCACCAGATGTAGTTTAAACTAAATGCAATTTCCTGTTTGATATTTTCCAAGTTACCTTAAAGGAGCAAAGTTTTTTGGCATTATATTTAATTTTTTTGGCTTGTTTCACTTTTAAAATTCATTCTTTAATTTGATAAATGGAAATTTCAGTTATCTTTAAAGTTTGGAATTATTAATATAAATTACTCATAAATTTGGAATTTCCTTCTCTGAATCACATGGGACTTTAGTTGGCAATATTGATTAAACTGTAAGAATCCATTAAAGAAAGCCAGGTCTTGATAGCAGGTTTGAGATAGAGTGAGAATGGGAGAAGATAATGATACAGCTGAGGATAGAGGCAGAAAAAATTCATGAGCGCTCTTGGATTGGGAGCAGTCAGTCACAGTGAAAGTTGGAACCGAGTGGAGTGAGCACAAGGCCTTAATTTGAGTGGTAAAAAGACTTGGATAATGAATAGACCCTAAGCAGAGATGATGCTTATTAATCTCTTCCTTAACTCAAAACTCAGTGTTTTTGTCCTGGCAGGCAGCTATATACTTTATAGCTCTGTGCAACCACCTTGAAATTTTTCATGAAATTCTCTGGGTTTGTAAGTTATTGGTAGGATACAGGTCCTCACACATGGCTTTAGTTTAGTAACCCTAACCTACTTAGGACAGTTTATTTCATTGATTACCAAACAAAAGTAGCCATGGTACTTTAGTCTTTACCAGGGCAAATTTGTTGTTGTTGTGTTTAATAAATATTTTGTGATCTGACCTTTGGTTTAATCTTTAAATTTCCTTGGGTTTGAGTCCAGCTTGTCTTGGATGGGAGATTGACCTAGTAGATACTGTATGAGACAACTTGATAGAATACTTTAGAGAAATTTATTGAACAAACCAACCATTAACTGAATCTGAATTTAAGCTAAAATTAAACTAACTTGTCCTTGCTACAAATTCAGTTCCTTAATATGTACTGATGCAAAGGACAGTATCTTTATTTTGGCACTTGGCTTTCTCAATTTAAATGTTAAATTAGCCCCAAGCAGATTGCATTTTTTGAAGCCCTGGAATAGTTGTGTCTGTTGGTATGTGCTGTTGGCATGTGACTAGGGTTCTTAGTGAGACAGTCCAGTGGGAAATGTGGTGTTTGGGGGAGCTTTTAAGGACTGCAGGCCAGATTTGCCTTATAAGTAGTTGCTAAAATATGCTCTAAGAAGGTATGGCGTATGTTGGATTATAGCAGTTACTTTGAAAATAATAGTTCCAGTGAAATTGTGTACTATCTTTTGAGGTTAACTTTTTTTTTTTTTTTTAAGTTCTCTAGATTAGATTTTCCAGCAAAGCATGTCAGTAGTTAACTAAATATAAATTGCTGGGCCAGGGTCTCAGTGGTAAAATGCATAGTTAGTGTGCTGAAGGCTCCAGGTTGAGTCCCTGGTATCAAAATAAATATATAAATTGTTATTAAACAACTCCGACAGTGGCATTATTATGTAATTTTGTTTTACTGTGAGCTGTACTCAGTCTTTAGTGCTTGGGAAGCAAAGTGACATTTTTTGTAGACTGCGATTCTAGTCAGAAGATGTCCTTGCCCTTGTTTATTTGTTTTGGTTCTGTGGATTGAGCCCAGAACCTGCATGCTAAGAACTTGCTCTGCTGTTCAGCTGCACCCGCAGCTCCTTTGCGCTAATTTGCGCTGGCTAGAAGTTAAAAATAGTGAAGAAAAATAATGATTTTTGATTGACCTCTGTAATATTTATACAGTCTTTTAAAATGTGAAACTAGAAAGCTAATTTTAGCATCATTTATCCATTAAATGCCACCATATATCAATATTTATCTGGATAAAATGTCATTTAGAGTGATAGCTGAAATAAAATCTTAAGGGAGGCTTTATATTTGTTTTGTTTTTTTTTAGGCTTCATGGTGTATTAGATAAACTTCGCTCTGTTACAACTGGTAAGATTTACAAAATTGAAGTTCATTTGGAATTCCTATTTGCTATAGCATATGATTCTTTTGAAAGTCATTTATACAGTTTTGGAAACACCTGAAACTGAAAAAAGTGTTCATTTGAACTTTGTATGGGAGCACAATTTTATGGCCTTCATGAGCAATAAATTTATCCAGTGATAATTGCAATGTGTGTGTAAGTGGAAGCGGTGCAGTTTATCCCAAGGAAAAAATCATAGATGTTTGCTGAGGTTTAAGGGTGTCTCACAGTGTTGTATTTGAAAACTACTTCAACATCCAATAGTAATAAATATATAATTTTATTACTATGTGTGGAGTAATATTCAGGCATTAAAAATAATGTAGAGTACTGTGAGAACACACATGCACTACATAACATTATATGTGTGTATCTCTATACTTTTCCTCAAAAATGGCCTTCGATGCTGGGTGTGGTGGCACACACATGTATTCTCATCCACTCCAGAGGCTTAGGCAGGAGGATTGTGGACTTCAGGTCAGCCTGGGCAATGTAGTGACACCCTGTCGCAAAGAGCGGAAAGGGCTGGGGACACAGCTCCGTGGTAAGAGTGTTTGTCTAGCATGGGTGAGGTCCTGTGTTTAGTCCTCAGTACTGTACTGCAAAAAACAAAACACCTTTGAGGTAATTGGTATTTTGTTTATATTTTAAAACTTTTCCACAATGAGCATATATTGCTTTTGAACTGGTGATCAGAGAGGAAAAGTTTCAAAATAATAAGAAGTAGATTAAAGACCATATGTTTTTCCTTCTAGAACCCTCAAGTCTAAAATCTTCTGATACCAATATCTTTGACAATAATGTGCCTTCGAACAAGAGCAGTTTCAGTCGGGGAGATGAGAGAAGGCATGAAGCTACGGTGCCTCCCCTTGCTATTTCTAGCACTAGACCCGAAAAGAGAGATTCCAGAGTTGCTGCAAGTTCACAGGAGCAGAAAACAAGTAATCTGAGGTAAAGGGACTAGCCACTTTTTCATTGAAATTTTTATTAAACATTTTTTGCTGGGCGTGGTGATGCATGCCGGTAAGTCCAGCACTCAGGAGGCTGAAGCAGAAGTATCACCATGACTTTTAGACCATCCATGGCTGCATACTGAGTTGAAGACCAGTCTGAACTACATAGTGAAACTCAGTCTCAAAACAAGCATTTGTTTTGAGGATTTGGAGATAATTGGTCTAATATCACAGTGAACTGTTCTTATTTTTAATAGACAAACTTACGATGATGGAGCTGCAACCCGATTAATGTCAACAGTGAAACCTCTCAGGGAGCCAGCGCCCTCCGAAGATGTGATTGATATTAAGCCGGAACCAGATGATCTCATTGATGAAGACCTCAATTTTGTGCCAGAGAATCCCTTATCTCAGAAAAAACCTACAGTGACTCTTACATACGGTTCTTCTCGCCCTTCTATTGAGATTTATCGACCACCTGCAAGTCGAAATGCAGAGAGTAGTGCTCATTTAAACAGGTTGCAATTTCAGCAGCAGCAAAACAGTATTCATGCTGCTAAGCAACTGGATATGCAGAACAGTCGGGTGTATGAAACAGAACACACATGTGAGCCGGAAGTGCTTAACAGCTTAGAAGAGACTTACAGTCCCTTCTTCAGAAACAACTCAGAAAAAATGATGATTGAGGTTTGTATTTTTTTTTGTTTGTTTTTGAAACAGTTTGGTCGAGTAGTTCAGTCTGGCCTTGAACTCACCATGGAGCCAGGCTAGCCTTGGAACACGCAGTGATCCTCTGCTTCAGCCTCCCCAGTGCTGGGATTGCAGGTGTGCTCCACCAGACCCAGCTTGTATGTTTTTAAATCCCTGTTTGTTAGGCTGAAATTTGGCAATTCTTGATACTAAACAATGTGTGAAGTAATTAAACACATATTTCACATTATTTTTCCGCTGTAATATGCTTTTCATGGCTGACTTCTAGAGATTTTATAGTGATATACCTGTATTACCTTGTTAGCATTCTTCACACTTGAGTTAGAGTCACTCTGATAGTTTTGGATAGAGGATTTAGGTCAATTTTACATTATCTGTGGTAATTCCTAGTAAGTAGCCGAGTAACTTCGTTTTCTTAGTTTCTGGGATGTTAGATGTCTGACTTAGCTTGCTTGCTTTATTTATTTATTTATTTATTTATTTATTTTTGTCTTTTTCCTTTTTATCGGTACCGGGGATCGAACTCACGACCACCTGCTTGCCAGGCAGGTGCTTATGCCGCTGAGCTAAAGCCCCAGCCCCTGACTTAGCTTTATTTTTACCTTACATTTTTGGAGGGGGATTGTTAGGTAGTTGCTAGTGAGCAACCAAGTTACTTCCTTTCCTTAGTTTCTTTGACTTCTGGCATTTGGTAAGAACAGATACTATACTTGCTCTTAGCCCAAAAACCAGAAAGCAGAAAGTGATGATTTCCAGCATTTGAAATAGCTTTCTCTGTAACTTATCTTGCTGGTAACGATTAGGTAAATTTTAAGATTATTGTAAAAAACACCTGACTCAGTTTTATTTCCTCAACTGCTGTGTGTAGCTGTTTATAAAATGAATGTAAAGCTTTAAGGTGCTTATGCCATTGAGCTAAATCTCTGGCCCAAGTGTTTACATTTTTATAGGAAACCAGTAAGTTCTCTGTGAGTTTTTAATGCAATTGTCATTTTTTTAATAAGTGGAAAAATGTGTGATTTTTGTTATTTTCTGCAGCTAGGTAAACATAAATTTATCTGATTGCAGGAAGAAAATTTTAGAAAGAGAAAGTTACCTGTGGTAAGTTCAGTTGTTAAAGTAAAAAAATTTAATCACGATGGAGAAGAGGAGGAGGAAGATGACGATTATGGCTCCCGCACAGGAAGTGTGTCTAGCAGCGTGTCAGTGCCAGCAAAACCTGAGAGGAGGTATCTGAACACAGTGGTTATAACTGCCTGACGGTGTCCTCTGGGTTTTGTTTTCTTTTACTCCATGCTGGGGATCAAACCCCGGGCCTTGTGCATGTTAGGAAAATGCTTTACAACTGAGCTGCATCCCTGACCCTGTCTGGATTTCTTAAAAAGGAAGTCATGAAAAACATCTAATGTAATCCCATGTAAGACATTTCAGTTGAATGAATGAATTTTTTTTCAAATAGGTCTTGCTATGCAGTTTATGCTGGCCTTGTACTCACTATATGTTGCAGGCTAGCCTTCAATGATCCCCCTGCCTCAGCCTCCTGAGTACTGGGGTAGCACTTGTGTACCACCACACCTGGCTTTCCATTGGAGAGTTTAGAGGCACGTTATTGAGAATGACAACACTGGAAAGAATTGCGAAGAATTAAAAACAAAGTTTGATGAAGGGGGAAAACTTATACACATTCATTATTTTTAAAGGTTAGCAAGGTTTCTTCCAATCTACTTGACATTTTCTAAAAACTGTAGCTGGTGTATTTGAAACATAGGAAGGCTGTCGCAAAGGCATAATGTCCGGTTAGTATGTAAAGAACTGAAATTTAAAACGTTGTAAAAGATTTCTTTTAAAACTCTTTTTAGACCTTCTCTTCCACCTTCTAAACAAGCTAATAAGAATCTGATTTTGAAGGCTATATCTGAAGCTCAAGAATCTGTAACGAAAACAACCAACTATTCTGCAGGTAATTAAAATGTGGTCTGTTTATACTAAATAAGAGATCTCTTCAGTAATTTAAAAATGCTTGCTCCCTGAGTGTTGCTATAATAAAGTATCTGTCATGTCAGTATCAAAGTGAATTTGTACTATAGAAAATGGTTTTAGAAGGAAGTTTGATCAACTTGAAAAAGTGTCATTGGAGTTTAGTTTTTTGAGTACCATATAGAACCTATAGTACCTTCTACACCTTCATTCCAAAGACTACGAAGCAGATAATATAAACTTTAAAGGGAGGGCTTTTTTTTTGTTTTTGGTGATACCAGAGGTTGAACTTCCCCAGGGCTTTGCATGTGCTAGTGAGGTGCTTTAGTGCTGAGCTATACACCAACTCTTTTTTATTTTATTTTGAAACAAGTTCATTCTTATGTTGTTGCCCAGGCTGGCCTTGAACTTTCAATCCTACTGCCCAGCCTCCTGAAAAGATGAGATTATAGATTATGTACCACCAATGCTGACTTAAAAGTTTAGATTAAAAAATGAGACTTTCACATTCAACATTAGTTATAAATTTATAATAGGTAGAAAAATTGGATAGTAGTAAGTAGCTGGAGTTAGGCAAGTTTGTGTTTTTGGTTTTGTTGTGTTTTTATGTGGTACTGGAGAGCAAACCCAGGGCCTTGTGTGTGCTAGTGAACTGCTCCGTCGCTAGCTACATACATTCCAATTCCCTAGAGAAATTCCGTTTAAAACTTAAAAACAAGTAGATTGGTTTCTTCACTTTGGAATCCATTAGTGAAGTGGAGGAAGGGGGAGCCAGTTCAGTGGCTTATACCTGGGGTCCCAGCTGCTCAGGAGGCTGAGACTGCAGGGTTGCAAGTTAAAGGCCAGGCCAGGCAGCTTGGTAAAACCCTGTATCAAGATGATGATGGTACGATAATAAAAAGTAATCACAGTAGGGCTAGGGGTGTTGCTCAGGGGTAGAGCACTTGTCTGTCACGTGTGGATCCCTAGATTAAGTTCTCAGTACTGCCAAAAAAAGAAGGGGCGGGGAGAGAACTCAGTTGTGATGGCTTTGCCCTAATATCGTACTGATAGAAGCACATCATCATTTTGTTGTAGGAGACCAGGAAGACGGCTTTCCTTGAGTGCATAACTATACTACCTCTGCATTAATTTAACTAGACCCTGTCTCCATGTACTGATATGTACAGAGCTGACTAAACTACTTTTTTCTTTTCATTGGCTTTAAGCAGTGCCATTAATGCTAGCAGAGGTACTGATACGCACTGTGCACGCAGTCTTTGAGACCAACAGTTTCCTGTTTTCTCCTATTGCATTCTTCATAAAGATGACAACAGTGAGATGCCAGAGCCAGATAGCTTCAGGAATGTGACTATGTCTGAGCCTCAATTTAAGAGGCTTCCCAGGGCACAAAAATTTCCATATCAAAAACTTAATAGTCCCCTAAAAATATTTAAATGATACCCTAATTAGGTTATTCAGACTGGCCTTTTTGCAGACCCCCACGCACCCCCCCCCCCTCCAATTTTAAAGATGCTTACTCTCTGCATGGCCAGCTCAGGTAGTTTTCACCTTTCTCACTGTCACTCATCCTTGAGCCACTCCGTTTTTCACAAGATAATAAATTCTGGGACAGACTTTGGATCAAGGCCTTTGTATATCCTCACTTGGATTGGGTTTAAGACCGACCCATTGGCTGCCCATAACTATGAATATTTCTTAGTGTCTTTACTCTTGACATGGGTTACATTGGAGATGATAGATTAAAATTAACTCGTTGGAATTCCAATATTGTGACAGAATATTAAGATACTGCATGTATTTAAAATAGACTTTCTTGCAGAAAGTTAATTCTGAAGTACAGATGATAGGTGCCATTTTTACAGCATTGATTTCTGTGTTTATGTCTCATTATTGTAGCCAGTGTTTAAACTTCTGTGGTAACAAGATGATGGTAATTAACTCTCAAATCATTTAAAATTTTTTACTATGGATTCGATCAGTGCTGTCTTAGAGTACTGTCCTGCTTTTTATATTCTTATGTCTTTGCTTCCTAAGTGATTGATTAGCCATTGATTTTCCATCCTGATCTGTCTCCTCATCATCAATTTACCCTTGAACATAAACAAGTTTTGGCATGGAGATAAGGGTTATCAGACAAAGACCAGTGCTTGACATAACAAAGCTAGAGAATATCTGTAACCTTAAAATGTCCTCCAATAGGAGATCCCCAGGTATTTTCCTAGGGTGGGATAGGACTCTGGGATTTGAACCCAGGGGCTTTCACACTGAATTATGATAGGGTTTTCGGGGTGATAAAAGAGAAAATATAAAATATAAATAGCCTTTATTCTAAGGACGCGGAGAACACCATGACCGCCGGGGCCTGGCTTTCTCTGCCGCAAAGTTGGGACATGGGACATACATATAGTTTCTGATTGAGGTGGCGCTTAGGGTGGCATTGCTGACATGTGAGCAGCTGATTGGGACTTTCTCGCGCCACTGTTAGAAGGAAGAGGAAGTTGTCATAGGGGAAGGAGGAAGGTGACCTCAAGGTAAACATCCTTTGGTCCCACCTCCCACTGCTGTAATATCCTATCTAGGGCAAAATCCTTTCAAATTATATCTCCAGCTCTGTTTAATTTTTTTGAGACAGCTTGTTGGCTACATGGTTGCCTAGGCTGGACTCAAACTTGTGATTTTCCTACGTTAATCTGCCTAGTACTGTAATCCTAGTATTAGGATTCCAGGTGTGAGCCACCATACCTGACTTGGAGATCCAAAAGCTTTAAGAAGTAGCTTTGAAACGTTCTGCATCTAGATTACCTAAATTACAACTCAAAATTAACATAAAGCTTAAACTGCATTTGGTTAAAAATGAATACATTGTGCTCTACTCTTTGTGGCATATGCCTTAAAATGTGTGATACCGTTTATCTGTCTCAGAAATACAAGAAAGGCTAGGGGAATAGTCTCTGAACTCATGTCAATGCTCGAGTGTTCTAGACTCAAGAGGCATTTATGATATGTTAACCGTTGAGTTTTGATGTGTTCTGATGTTTGTTATGTTTCCATCTCTTAATTTTATGTTAAAGTTCCACAGAAACAGACACTTCCAGTTGCTCCTAGAACGCGAACATCTCAAGAGGAATTGCTAGCAGAAGTGGTCCAGGGGCAAAGCAGGACCTCCAGAGTTAGTCCCCCTATTAAAGAAGAGGAAACAAAAGGAGATAATGCAGAAAAAAATCAAGGTAAGGATTTAAATATATCACTTGTTACTAAACTTCCTCGTAAGGCTTTATTTTCAAGTGGGTTTTTAATGGAGTATTAGCTGTGCTGTGAATGTCAGACTAAAAAAAGAATAAAAGGTTATTTATGAAGAGTGCTCAGACCTACACTTAAGAAATTTGAAATGTTTATTATGAAACCAGATGTGTTGGCATATACCTGTAATCCCAGCTGTTCAGAGACTGAGGCAGGAGGGTCACATTGAAAGCTAACCCGACAACTTAGATGCCAGCCTCAAAGTACATAAACAAAAAAGATTGGCATTTAGCTCAGTGTTTCCTGAGTTCAGTCCCAACCCCTTTAATGCACAGATTTTTATTATAGAAAATTTTAATGTTCTCAGAAGTGGAAAGAAATGCAGTAAATTCCCATGAATCCAGTCACTCAGCCGTAATGGATATTGCTGGTTTTTAAAGTTTTTACTTAGATATCTATTTATTTGTTTTCTTACCTTCCTTTTTGGATTCTACCCCTGTTCTCCATACCTTGAAATCTTGGGCTTTAAATCTCCCCTCACTTAGCATGCTCCTCTGTGATCCATCCTGTCTGTCCCAATGGCCCTACTTTTTGAACCTGATGGTCTGAAGTAGTTAGCTTCTGATTGAGTGTTCTGTTTCCTCCTTTTTGCCTCTTCCCCATCCCTGACTGTGCATAGTCTCCTGAGTTCTAAAGTGTGACCAGTGTGTGGCTGCTCCGTGAAAGCACCCGCACCTGCCCTTATTGTCCAGGACTGATGCCCTGGGGTCCTAAGTAGCTGTTTTCTGAGCACTGAACCTGCTTGTTCCTTCTCCATGATCTCAAATCTATTTTCCCTATTCTCTTCAGAAAAGATTCCAACTTGTTTCTAAGATCTGATTTTTAAAGTTTTGCCTAAATAAAATCTGTATTCACATTGTTATTTCCAGTTACACTTTCTTTTGTCTAATCTTAGAATACATTTTTTCAATCCTTGGAAACTTGTGTTCTTTTAGTTGTGCAGATTTCATGGAGTTTTAGGATTACATCGTGTGTCTTCCTCTCCCTTCTTTCTCCTCCCCTTCTTTTCTCCCTCCTCTGTCCCTCCCCTCTCCTCTCCTAGATGGTGTGAATGAAACCGATGGCCTTATATTTGCTAAGCATGTGCTTTATCACTGAACTACACTTCTGCTCAGGTGTTGAAAACAAAAAGATAGACTATTTCACAGTTAGCTAGAAGACATTGAGAACATGTAAGATGTGGGTGGGTGTAGTGTTACATAATTAATCCCAGCTGCTTGAGAGATTGAGGCAGGAAGAGCACAAATTTAAGACCAGCCAGGGAAATTTATCAGACCTCTGTCTTTTTTTCTCCAGTATACCTTTGTCTTGAAAAGGTCTGGAGATAGAAAAGTGCTTGATAGCGTAGTATGCTTGAGGCCCTGGATACAAACGCTGGTACCATGCACCCCCCCCCCCAAAAAAAATCCCCCAAATTTGTGATGTAAAATGAACATTAAAGAGAATTGGAAAAAGTTTTAAAATGAATCAAGAAGAATTACAAGTAAAAGTTTATTTACAAATGAAGGGTTTTGTGTACAGACCTAGATTTAGTCCCTAATACTACAAGAAAAAAAATATTAGAAATGACTCAGTGATTAATGTTTTAGCAACCTGAAATATTTACAGAGACATTGAAGATAAAGGGAGGAACATTATAAAAATCATAAAGAAGAATAATTCAAGAGAAAATGGCAGATAGTAAAACAACACAAAGAAAGCAAAATAGAAATCTCTGGTGGTGGTGGGGAACAAGGGAACACCTTAACTAATCTTGTAAGGAAACTTCTGAAGCTGGGCCTGGCGGCACACACCTGTAATCCCAGTACGTGGGAGACTGAGGCAGGAGAATTGTCATGACTTTGAGGCCAGCCTGAAATACATAGTGAGACCCTGTCTCAATAGATAAGTAAAAGCTTCTAAAGAAGAAGAAAAATTGAAGCTGTATACTAGAAAGCTTACATTTTTACACTGAATATTTTTTTTTTTTTGTCTTTTTCCTTTTTATCGGTACTGGGGATCGAACTCACGGCTGCCTGCTTGCAAGGCAGGCGCTTATGTTGCTGAGCTATAAATCCCCAGCCCCTTCTTAAGGAATCTTAACAGAGTATGAGTTTTTAATAAGTAAAAATCATGTTCTGTGAGTTTTTATAAACTCACCTAAATTTTTCTTTAGATTCATTTCTGGAAAGGCAAAGAATCATTGAACTGTCCCATACCACTGGGTGTACCTAGTTCGCAGATTATGATCTTGGACTACCTCCTGTGTTAACAACTAGGCTTCTTGAGAAATGTTTGATCTCTTGGCTGTAGCACCAAAGGTAAAGGTGATCTAGGATGTTTAGACCTTATACGTAGCAAAGAAACTGTCAGTGTGGCAGTCATGTCAGAAGGATTCAGGAGTCAACTTTTCAGCACTTCCATTGGCCGTGTGGAACCGTTTGAGCTCCAGTAAGAGTACAAATGGCAGTGGGTGGGGTTCTGTCATGCATTCTTCAACCCAACCAAAAGTAAACCTTTACTGATCACCTTCTAGAGCAGTGGTGGTGAGTGTTTTAGAGACGAATGCCCAAACTGCACCCTAAACTGACTTCTTCATCACAAAGTGCCACCATTGCAATTAAACGTGAATATTGAGATTCGATTTAGAAAAGACAACTCAGTACATTAGCATCTTTTGTCTTAAAGAACATGGCGCAGTAGGTTTGCCACCACTGTTCCGTTCTAAAGCGATATTCATCTTGACAACTTGGTATATAAAACAACGAGCATTTGTATTTTCCTGTAAAGTGGTACCACTCGGTAACCAGGTAGTACAGGAGTAGGTACCAGTTTTTTAAATAGAGTTTTGTTGGAGTCAGACTATGCCAATTCATGAATGGATTTTTTTATGATTCCTTTTGAATTACTATGTTAGTTGTGTAGGTTTGCACATGTATAGCCTTGCAGTCTGAGAAATGTTAACCCTTGACATGATAGATGAGGGAAACATCTTATTAAGAAAGGTAATTCAGCTACTAAGTGAAAAAACAGAAGGGTAGACCTTGAGGTGTTTTGTTGTTTTTATTAAAAAACAGAATGAAACCAAAAATAAATAGAAGAAAATAATAAAGATCAGAAAACACAATCTCTTATCAAACTGTCAACATTTTTCATATAGATTAACATTTTGATTCTTACATTTCTGTAAAAATAAAGATTTGGAATAGTCTAAACAACTTTGATAAAGTAACAAAATTATAGCTCCAATTCTCCCCAATCCCTTTGCTGTTTTTTTTTTTTTGAATGAATAAAAATGATTTGTTTTTATGTCTCTTGAAGAAAGAACATAACACTACCTTTTAGTCTTGGCCAAAGGATTTTTTTTTTTTTTTTGTCTTTTTCATTTTTATCGGTACCAAGGATCGAACTCACGACTGCCTGCTTGCAAGGCAGGTGCTTATGCCGCTGAGCTAAATCCCCAGCCCCAAGGATTTGAATCTTAGGTCATCACGTCTCAACCCAACAGCTTGCAAGGTATAGAGTTCAGAACAATGATAGAACTGCATCTTAAGTATGCAGCAGTACGACTGAGTCTCTGGGTCACTTTGTAGGTTAGGTGGTCTGAGAATTTGCAAAAATGTTAAAGGACAAATCAAAATAAAGGGAGTACATTTAACTTACCGTTTCCAGAAATGCAAACCAATATATAAAACCACGCAGAACCCCTTGGGCAGTACTCTAAAAGGCATTTGTTGGCTACCTTTGGGGAGGAGTGATTTAAGATGGGACACATGGAGAGGTGTCTAGAGGGATTGGCAGAAGTTCGTTTGCTTGAACTGGGTGGTGGTTAGAAGATGTTTTGCTTTATGAAAATTCATTATGTCGCGAATGGATTGGTTCACTAGGGTTCTTGTCATGTTTTAAAGAAAGGTTGAGTTGAAATATTACCAAGTGCAGGTGTTGTTAAAGACTATGACTAGATACATTGTTCACGGGTGTAAAGTGATGGTAAGCAATTGTTAATGTCCTTACAGTTTTACAGTTATTTCAGACATTTTGAAAAATTAAATATGTACATGTATTGACATGGGTTGTGATAGTATGTTCTTTCTGTCCTCTTGGTTTTTTTTTTTTTTTTTTTTTTTTTTTGGAGATAGGGTCTCACTATGTAGCTCTGGTTTGGAACTCACAGATTCACTTCCAAAGTGTTGGGATTACAAGTGTGCACCACCACCCCTACTGCCTCTGGTTTTCCTAGCCTGCCCACTTTACTGTGTGTGCATTTTCACCTTTTATCTTGGGTCAGTCTGTCACCAGAATTTGTCTTGTCAGTTTTTTTGAAAGATTTATTACCATCATGATTCTGGCATTATTCTCATGTAGTGTCTTTATTTTCTGTTTCATTGATTTCTGTTCTTCTTTCAAGTACATCCTTCCATATTTTTTCTTAGTCCATCTTAGCCTGTAACTTCCAGTATTACACTTAGGTTATACATTTCTTTTGATGTACAACTTTTACTGTGTTAGTAGTTTTGATACAAGGCCTCATTATTAAAGTGTCTATAATTTCCATTATGATTCTTTTACTCATGAGTTTTTGAAACTTTTAAGAATATACAGGATAAAAAAAAAACTAAAAAGAATATACAGGATATGAAAGTTTTGTCTTTTAGTCTTTGTTTTCTAGTTCCTAATTATATTGTGGTTAATATCTATATAATGCATAGTCTTTGAGGAGTGTTAATAATTGCTTAGTCGGTTTTGTGTATCTTCATGTACATTTTAGAAAAAAGGCTCATTGTTGGAGGACAGGTTTTGCATTTATTCAGTAGATCAAAGCTCTCCTGTTCAAACCATGGTGAGCTTTGTGTCTCCCTGACCAATCTATAATTGAAAGCATTGTGGCTTCCTATCATAATGTAAAATTTACCCTAATTTCTCAGTATTTGTATCAGTTTTTGCTTTA